CCCTTTCCCACCGTCAAACCGCCCTCCCCGCCCATTCCCACCGTCAAACCGCCCTCCCCGCCCATTCCCACCGTCAAATAGCCCTCCCCGCCCATTCCCACCGTCAAACCGCCCTCCCCGCCCTTTCCCACCGTCAAACCGCCCTCCCCGCCCATTCCCACCGTCAAACCGCCCTCCCCGCCCATTCCCACCGTCAAACCGCCCTCCCTGCCCATTCCCACCGTCAAACCGCCCTCCCCGCCCATTCCCACCGTCAAAACCGCCCTCCCGCCCATTCCCACCGTCAAAACCGCCCCCCCGCCCCTCTCTTCCTGTTACCCACCCTTGGCACGCGCCCTAGCCCCGCCACCGCCTTGTGCGCGGGGCCCTCCCCAGCTCTACTTACACTGGTCTATCACCCAGCGGCTGGCAGCCGCTCTCTCTCACCGCCCGCCTAGGTTCGAGCCGTTTCGCCGCTAGTATCGCGCCCCTAGCCGTTGTAGCTGGAGATCCTCCGTTTCATGCCTAGCCTAGGTCACTCAGTGCTCCTAGCCTCTCACTCCGCCGTTCTCCCTCCTGGCGCTCCGTATGTTTCCCCCTCGTTCTTAGCTCAGCCTCCGCCGTGCTCCAGCCGCCTCGAGCATGTCTTCCGTTATGGAGTCCCGTCGCCTCCGTTTCGACGCGGAGGGACGCCCGATAGAGTTTGGCACCTGGCAGCGCCAGACCACGCGCTTCCTCACCAGCCAGCGACAGGACGGCGCCACTCTGTGGGCTCACGCGTCTGGTGCCCTACAGGCCCCCCCGTCCCCTGCCGCCCTGCCGACCACCCCGGAGCCGACCCCGACGGCCCAGGCGGAGTACGACCGTCGGGTCCTGGCCAGGGACGTGTGGCTCTCGCGTGACGCTGCCGCCGCTCTCACACTGTCGGAGCTTCTCCCCCCGACTGAGGCCGCCCACTTTGACCAGGTGGAGACAGCCCAGGGGGTGTGGGAGGAGATGTGGATGCCGCGCAGGACACCAGAGGGGACCACAGGGCACGGGAGGGTGGTGGAGCTACGCGCAACGGCTGGTCCAGAGGTAGGATCAGCCAGAGCCACTGACACAGGAGTGAGGAGTGGCGTAAGGGTCATGTGGTCGCGGAAGAAGCACTGAGACGCGCCCGAGTCCAGCGTGAACGACAGAGAGGCCTCAGCCGGAGGGTCACCTGACCCAGTCGCTACACAAGCACCTAGAGCAGCAACACAAGCACCTAGAGCAGCAACACAAGCACCTAAGCTAGACAGACACAAGGCTACACTAGCAGGAGGCAAGCAAGCTAAACTACGAACACGCGAGCACACAGATCCATCAGCACTAAAGTCAGCATCAACATACAAAGCATGCTGACGCGCATCGTCCATGGACAAATCAAAGACATCAATCTTACGAGCTCACAGACGAGACCAGCGAGGCGTGACCGCCTGAGGGCCCCAACGAGCCCGGTAGAGGTCGTCGAGGCGGCGGAAGCACCGCGCGGCAGAGTGGTCGTCGCGACCACAGAGACAGGGGCTGCCCGGCCAGGTGAGGCACCAGTGGGTGCAGGGGCCTGCGTCACGGCGAGGGGGGCGAGGGGCCCAGCTGGAAGAGCTGCTGCTGCGGCCGGTGCTCCCAGGGCCTCCCCACTCCTATCTCTGACTACTACCGCGTTGTTCGTCCTGTTGCCGCACGTGTCCTCGCCACTCTTGTCACCGACTCTCGTTTCCCTCCGTCGTCTGCCTCGGCTCTTACTGCCGCTGTCGCTGAGTTTGCTGCCGCCAGCCGCCTTGACTACGCCACCCGTGTCGTGCCAGCTCCTCCCTACCGTCCTCTGTCCGTCGGGGGTGGGTTTGCCCTTGGCTGTGACGTCCTAGAGGACAGAGAGTCTGAGCTGGAGTACTGGGCAGCCGCTTCTCCTTCTGTGTGCGCCATGCTGCTCTCCCCTGAGGGAGACCCCGACGCCCTTGACATACCGACTCCTCGCACTTACCGCGAGGCAGTGTCAGGGGCGTGGGCCTCTCAGTGGAAAGCGGCTATGGACTCAGAGTTGGCGTCTTGGAGATCCACAGGCACCTACGTCGACGCAGTTCCCCCTCCCAGGGCGAACGTAGTCGATGGCATGTGGCTCTTCAAGGTGAAGCGGCCGCCTGGAGCACCGCCGGTGTTCAAGGCGCGCTACGTGGCTAGGGGCTTCAGTCAGCATGAGGGAGTTGACTTCTTTCAGACCTTCGCCCCGACCCCGAAGATGACTACTCTTCGGGTGTTACTCCACATAGCAGCGCAGCGAGACTACGAGCTGCACTCCCTCGACTTCTCCACTGCGTTCCTCCAGGGCCGACTGCACGAGGAGATCTGGCTGCGCCGTCCTCCTGGCTTCACTGATACCTTCCCACCTGGGACCCAGTGGAGCCTGAGGCGACTTGTCTACGGTCTCCGCCAGTCGCCCCGTGAGTGGCACGACACTCTTCGCTCCACGCTTCGTGACCTTGGGTTCAGCCCGTCCTCCGCCGACCCGTCGCTGTTTGTTCGAGCGGGTACCACTCCTTTCTTTATCCTTGTCTACGTCGACGACTTGGTCTTCGCTACAGCAGACAGGGCAGCCCTGGCTCAGGTGAAGTCCGAACTGCAAAAGAGACACAAGTGCACTGACCTGGGTGAGCTGCAGCGCTACCTTGGCCTGCAGATCACCCGGGACAGAGCCGCTCGCACCATCACACTGACGCAGTCACACATGGTGCAGCAGGTCCTTCGGCGGTTCGACTTCCAGTTCTCCACCACACAGCCCACTCCTCTTGCTGTTGACCACAGACTCACGGGCCCCTTTCCTGACGAGCCCTTTGAGTCCAGTGGACCCTACGCAGAGCTGGTGGGCTGCCTCATGTACCTGATGACTTGTAATCGACCGGACCTCGCATTTCCCCTCAGCATCCTTTCTCGCTTTGTTGCGACTGGGAGACACCGTCCTGTCCACTGGACAGCTGCTGTGAGGGTGGCGAAGTACCTGGCGACTACATCAGGCATGGGGCTTGTGCTTGGAGGGACTCAGCCAGTGGCGTTGACTGGTCACTGCGACTCTTCCTACGCTGACGACGTGGAGACTCAGCGCTCGACTCAGGGTTACTGCTTCAGTCTGGGAGCTGGTGCTGTGTCGTGGAGGTCTACACGGTCGTCGTCTATGGCTACTTCCAGTGCAGAGGCAGAGATCTACGCTGGCGCCATTGCGGCACAGGAGCTTCGCTGGTTGACCTTCTTGCTCGCCGACCTTGGTGAGCGGCCTCGCTCTGCACCGACCTTGTACGCTGACAACAAGGCCATGATCCTCCTGTGTCGAGAGCCTCGACTGGAGACCAGAGTGAAGCATATTGACGTGAGGTACTTCCTCGTGCGAGAGCTGCAGCGACGCGGTCAGGCACGCCTGGACTTTGTGGCCTCAGAGGCCAACACTGCAGACGTCTTCACCAAGGCCCTGGCGCCTGGTGACCACCACAGGTTCTGTGTGCAGTTGGGGCTTGTTGAGGTAGGCCCTCGGTTGCTGTAGTACTGTTGCTTGCTCTGCATGTTGTGCTTTGCATTTATATCCTAGTGAACTCTTGAACTGGCCTTGTGGCCGCTTGCTTGCGCTCGGAATTTGTGTGGTGTCCTTGAGATCCACCCTGAGCTTGCCTTGTTTCTTGCTTTGACTGGTCTTGTGACTGTTTGTTCACCTTGCTTGCTTTGATGCCCCTCACTTAGCCTATGGGGGTGTGTCAAATGTTGTTATAGTCTCTTAGGCTACAGTGAGTAGCACTCTAAGGGGTACAACTCTATTTGTATGTCTTGTTTCTCTAGGTTCACATCATTCCGTTGCTAACCACTCTTGAGATCATCCATTAGAAGTAGCTTATATAATCTCGGATTACAATTTAAAAACGGATGTAATAGCAGCTAGTAATCCTTCTAAGGGCGTGTATCCATTTTGCCACATTGGATTTTTTCGGACGGTCCCCTTTTTTGACTCGGACGGTCCTAATGTGCTCACTGTGGGTCAGAATGTGCTAATTGCCATTTTCCATGCTCCCATCTGTCAGTGTGGGGTGGCAGCATCACCAACGCCTCTGCCCCGCTGCTCCTCGCCTCCCCCTGCCTGCTCCCACTCTCCCTCACCCCTCAAGCATGCGTGCTTATAGCACTCGCTTATAATTGCCCCTTCCCTCCCTTGGATCCTTCTACTCACAACCTTTCCCCACTCCCCCAATCCCCCACCCCTCCTCCCCTTTCCCCCCCTCTAGCCCCCCCCCGCTAGCCCCTTGCTTCCCCCCTGTTAGCCCCCTATTCCCTCCCTGCTAGTCCCTTGTTCCCTCCCTCGTCCAATCTCCTCCCTTGCTCCCTTCCTCTCTTCCGCACATCCTCCCTTCCTCTCTGTCCTGCCTTTCCTCCCTTCCTTTCCCTCATTTTCCACCCAGCGGCCCCTCATTTCCCTGCTGTTCATTATGGTCCCCCCTTGCTTACCCTTCCTTTCCCCCGTGCTAGCGTTCCTCCCCCCTGCTCACCCTTCCTAACCCTCCAGCTTACCCTCTGTTTCTTCTCTCCTTTCTGTTTTTATTTTTTCCTTGACAGCACCACAATGGCAGGAGGAGGGCCGTGTTGTTATTGAGTGAAGCTCTTTGCACCTTGGTGGAACTAAGTACCAGTATATAGTTGTACCGGCTTGTGTGTGTCATAGTGTATCAATCAAACGATCCGATAGCATATTACAACAGTTCATTCAAGATTTCCAGCGCATGCAAAAGCTTTGATGACGTAGATAACATCTGTAAATTGCAAACCTTACATCTTATAGATAAAGCATTATTACATGATGCAACTGGGCACAGCACTGAGGTGTGCAACTTGTGCAATATGGTGTACACATTCCAAGGTAAATGCGAGTGTTGTCTCCTGCTCTAGCTGTTCAGCGTTCGCTCAACACTTCCTTGAGCCTGCGGTTGCTCCCTTTACTCTGCCAAACTCCTCTGAACCCGAACTGGTCATGCTTGAAGTGGAAACAAAGGGATGAGCGATGGGTGGAAAGGTACATTGGGAGGGAGAGGAGAGGCACATGGGGAGGGAGAGGAGAGGCACATGGGGAGGGGGGAAGTGGGGCAGAAGGAGGGCGGAAGCAGGGCGGAGGGAGGGGGGAAGCAGGCCAGAGGGATGAGGGAAGCATGACAGAAGGAGGGGGGAAGCATGGCAGAGGGAGGGGGGAAGCATGGCAGAAGGAGTGGGGAAGCATGGCAGAGGGAGGGGGGAAGCATGGCAGAGGGAGGGGGGAAGCATGGCAGAAGGAGGGGGGAAGCATGGCAGAAGGAGTGGGGAAGAAGGGCATAGGGAGGGGGGAAGCAGGGCGGAGGGTGGGGGAAGCATGGCAGAAGGAGTGGGGAAGCAGGGCATAGGGAGGGGGGAAGCGGGGCGGAAGGAGGGGGGAAGCATGGCAGAAGGAGGGCGGAAGCAGGGCGGAGGGAGGGGGGAAGCAGGCCAGAGGGATGAGGGAAGCATGACAGAAGGAGGGGGGAAGCAGGGCGGAAGGAGGGGGAAAGCAGGGCGGAGGGAGGGGGGAAGCATGGCAGAGGGAGTGGGGAAGCAGGGCATAGGGAGGGGGGAAGCAGGGCGGAGGGAGGGGGGACGCAGGGCGGAGGGAGGGGGAAAGCAGGGCAGAGGGAGGGGGGAAGCATGGCAGAAGGAGAAGTGAAGCAGGGCGGAGTGAGGGGGGGAGCAGGGCGGAGGGAGGCGGGAAGCGGGGCATAGGGAGGGGGGAAGCAGGGCGGAGGGAGGTGGGACGCAGGGGGAAGCAGATGAGGCAAAGGAGAATAGATTGCGGGGTAAACAGAGCTGGTGGGAGAAAGGGAGGTTGGTCAAAATAAAGAGGGGTGTAAACAATTTGGAGGAAGTGAGGTCGACAGGGAGAGGGAGTGAGGGAAGTACCTGCTCTCACCCTCTGTCTCTCAATCTCTGCCCCTCCCCCTCTGTTCCTCCCCCTCCGTCCTTCCCCTTCTATCTCTCGCCCTCGGCCCTTCACCCTCTGTCTCTCCACCTGTGTCCTTCCCCCTCTGTCTCTCCCCTTCTGTCCTTCTCACCTCCTCCGCCCGTTCCCTTCCCGTCCCCCGCCCCCCCAATCATTCCTTCACTGTCCATTCCCCCCTCAGCTGTCCATTCCCCTCTGTCTCCCGCTCTGCCCCTCACATCAGTATGCACTCACTGGGGCTGGAAGGAGCGAGGGCGTATGGGGGAGTTGCTACACTCGATGGTGTCGATGGCGACGTGGGTAGTGGCGATAAGGACAAACGCTTCCCAATTGGGGTGGCGGAGGCGACGACGGGAGGCGAGGGGATCGAGGAGCAACTGGGGCAACGACACATGCGCGATTCGTCAACTTCAGCTAGTGATAACGGAAGATCGCGAGTGAATGGTTGAGCGCATGACGAGGGGAGGAGTGCGCGTCACGAGGGGAAGCGCGCGTGACGAGGGGAGGAGAGAGCGCAACGAGGGGAAGCGTGCGTGACGACAAGGCGCATGCGCGACGAGCGGAAATGCGCGCGACGAAGGGAAACGCGCGTGACGAGGGGGAACGCGGGTGACGAAGGGAAGCGCATGACGAGGGCAAGCACAGTATCCCGGGCAGGCGCGAGTGACGAGGGGCAGGCGCGAGTGACGAGGGCGGGCGCGGGAGGCGAGGGGGAGCGCGGCTGACGACGCGGGCTAAACATGGGTAGCATGGCGAAGCACTCGTTTGTCTCACACGTTCCGTGTGAGTAACGCGAAAACGTATGTAAATATCGACAGCGACACTATGCTTGTGCTGGCCAAATATTGGCGAGACAGCATGAGTGACGTGAGTTGCCATAAAAAACGGGGTCAAGGGAACTAGCTGATGCCGCACTGGCTTCCTACTTACGTGAGGGACTAGGCCGGTCATGAGTACTACTAGGCGTTCAAGATATGTGAGAGCCAAACAGCGGGCCAACCTGAGCGACGTTCGGTTCTGTTTTGCGATTGTGCTCAAAAGCCAATGAGGAGAGAGCGTCGCTTGGCGTTGTCACAGAGCCGCGAGAGTTCCGTCAAACAAAGTAGGGTAACCCTGTTTTTGACGATTTCAAGTTCAAGAATCTTGAACTTGAAAATAACCATGCTGTACCCAGTCTGTAACGAGGTTAGGACCGTCCGACTCGACGGTTCGGTACTTTGGTACCGTCCGGAGTTAATGGTGACACTTTTCCCCCCTTCTACCAATTCGCGAGAACTGTAGCATCGCCAAAAGCATTGTGTCTGTCGTAACCCAAGTCACGCCTGTCGCAACGTTCGCGTATGCAGTTCGCGCGGCTCGATTTCGAAATTTGACGAGGTGACTCGGTTCTGGTAATTTTATTTTCGCCCGCCAATCTTGCGCCAGGACTGTCGGACACTTCGCAAGTGTTTCGGACAGTCCGAATCTGACAGTTCGTCCCGTTGAAGTGGCAAAAAAGTGTCACTACCGTCCGGGTTATCGGCGACGGCGCGAAGGTGCATGCGAAAAAAATTACGATATGAAGCGAAACTAGTAACCCTTCGCACCGCGGACGGTCCACAATTCGGACCGTCCGGCACAGAAAGTGGCAAATGGATACACGCCATAACCCTACCCAGTTGAAAAATGATATTGAGTCGGCAGCTTCGAGCGCAGGACCTAGGGATGACATATTCGACGTACCCTATGATCCTATAAACAAGACCATCTACGGCTTCTCGGAGCAGCAGCAGCCACTACTACTCGAGGTGCTCTGCAAAGGGCGTCGCCTCAAAGCATTGGTGGACAGTGGTGCGTCCCACTCGGTGTGCGACCGCGGGTCGTTGGAGAAAATTGAGGAGTCCTCGGAGAAGACTCTGTTTACAGCAACGATGGTGGACGGTACGAAGCTTCCCATCCATGGCGAGTCAACACTGCAGCTGCAGATAGGGGCGTTGAGGTGGAAGCCGACGTTGCCGATCACGAACATCAAGGGACTATATTTCATCTTGGGCCGTGATTTCCTGAAGCGGTTCAACCCCGAGATCGACTAGATCAACCGGAAGGCGTGCATCTACAACAACGGGAAACGTGTGGAGTTGCGAAGCTGGACGTATACAGGGGTCGTTCTGGAGACGACACTTGCACGGATCGAACGGACGGTGAACGAGAGTAACACGGGTTACTTAGCACTGGTGATGGCAGCAACAGAGGAGGAGAAGCCGAACTCGGAGCTACCTGCAGCAGTACAGGAGGTGTTAACGGAGTACAAAGACATCATGCCGGATGACCTGCCTGCGGGAGTACCTCCAGCGCGAACCAACGAACACGAGATCGTGGAGCAACCAGGTGCGAAACCCGTCTCTCGTGCACCATACTGCCTTGGTCCGACCAAACTGACAGACATGAAGAAACAAATTGAGTACCTACTGGACAGACAACCGATCCGCCCATCCACCTCTCCCTACGGCGTACCGGTTCTCTTCACTCCTAAGCCGGACGGTAGTTTACAGATGTGCATCGACTACCGTGAACAAACAGACAGTTAAGAACAAATACCCCATACCGCGCATAGACGATCTTCTAGACCAACTGCGTGGTGCAACGGTGTTTTCAAAGCTGGACCTACGGTCGGGTTACAGGCAGATCAAGATGGCAGACAACTCGATCCACAAGATGGCGTTCCGTACCAGATACGGCTCCTACGAATACTTAGTGATGCCGTTCGGACTCTGCAACGCACCAGCGACGTTCCAAGTGGAGATGAACCACATCCTACGGCCCCTGCTGGACGAGTGCGTAGTAGTGTACCTGGACGACATACCCATCTACTCCAAGAATATGAAGGAGCACGTGGAGCATCTGCGAAAAGTCTTCGAGTTCCTGCGGAAAAACAAATTCTACGTGAAGCTGTCGAAGAGCGACTTTGCCCTGAAGAAGGTGCAGTTTCTTAGGCACATGGTGAGTGCGAAGGGCGTACACGTGGACCCGCGGAAGATCAAAGCCATCAAGAAGTGGAAAGTTCCTGAGAATATGAAGGAGTTGCAACATTTCCTAGGCTTCGCCAATTACTACAACAGGTTCGTGCCATAGTACGCTAAGATAGCGGCGCCACTGATGAACTTACTGAAAAAGGATGTGCCCTATTAATGGAATACTCCTCAACAGCAAGCCATGGAGCAGCTACAGACAGCACTGACTACCGCCCCAGTATTCATCCTACTGGATCCAGACAAAGATTACGTGGTGGAAGCAGACGCTAGTGACCAGGTAGTCGGAGCAGTGTTGATGCATGATCACGGACACGGTTTGCAGCCCATCGCCTACTCCAGGCTGACGTGGCGGTGACGAGGCTGGTGAATCGCGTGCTGGTGTACGGACTCGAGAGCGGGCTGCCCATGCTCTTCGACTGTGACGGCAGGGGCACCGAAATATATCCCACTGGTAACCACATGGAGATGTAACCACATAGATACCCCCCTCCCTTGATCGTGTGCTGGTGTACGGACTCGAGAGCGGGCTGCCCATGCTCTTCGACTGCGAGGGCCGCGACACCGAGATCTACCCCACTGGTAACCACATCGCCATGTAACCACACAGATACTCCGCTCTCCACCTCACTCCCCGCCCCTTCCTTCTGCCCGCTCCCCCATCCTCCCCTCTCTCTCCGCTTTTTTCCACTGAGATTTCCCTCTCAAACCTCCGTCCCATATGGGTTTACCGTCGTTCAGACCCTGACGTCCTGACCCTGTCACCTACATGCATACCCCCACCCCTGTCACCCCTTCCCCAGTGTTTGCGCTGTGGCGTGTGCCTGACCTGGTGCCGTCCTTCCTGCTCAAGGGCGGGGAGGTGGCGATTTCCCAGATCCTTCAAATGCCACCTGAAAGCCCTGTCACTAACTAAACCCTGAACCCTCGAAACTCCAACCCTGACTTCTCATCCGCAGTGTTTGCGCTGTGGCGTGTGCCGGACCTGCTGCCATCGCTTTTGCTCAAGGGTGGGGAGGTCTCGCGCTACGTGCTGTCAGGGGCTGATCTCATGGCGCCAGGCGTGCAGGTGCGAGTGGGATGCGGGTTTAGGGTGTTGCGAAGGTGGGGAGAATTTAGGGTGCAGTGCCTAGTGCTTGAGAGGTCTCTTGCTACGTGCTGTCAGTGGCCGACCTTATGGCACCAGGCGTGCGGGTAGAGAGCAGCACGTACCTAGGGCTTCCTAGGTCTTAGATGAGTGCTTGAGTGGCAGTAGAGTGGGAGGTGCCAGTCTTCTACACCCCTCTGCACCCCTCTGTACCCCTCTGCACTCCTCTGCCCGTCGGGTGCCCGCCGAAGGCCTACCAGGGTTCCGACCAGGGGAGGTGTGGTCAGTGAAGGTTCCAGGAAACTCCTGCCCCATTGCAGTACGTGCTCGTCTCCTTGCATCACAAAGTTGCTCCACCGTTCTCCACCATTCTCCACCTTGCTCTATCCTGGTCCACCCGATTCACTCTACTCCGTGCTGCTCCATCCACCCTGCTCCACCACTCTCCACCCACCCAATCTCCTGCCCTCCTTTCCCTCTCAACCCCACCACCCCTTGCACAACAGGTGGGCATAACGATGGTGGGCAGTGCAGAGGCTGTGAGGGCCGGCATGAGGGGAAAGCTCCTCCGAATCACCCACTACTACCGCGACTCACTATGGTCTGCATCCCCACCCCATCCCACTCTCACTCTTTCAATCCATCTACACGATATTCACAATTGACTTGATGCACCCTTTCCGCGGTAGCATTTTCCGCATTCATTGCCCCTGTTGCCGCTGCGTTTCAAAGTCTACACTCACTCGCGAGCAAAGGCTTCTTCTTGTCTTCACCTTTTGGAGGTCTAGACGGCTGCCTGGCATTTCCAGGAAGTAGCAGTTCAGGATAGGATTTACACGGACGTCTAAATGGCAAGTAAAGACAAGCACCCCAATTGAAGGAATTCCCACCTTCCCTTGCAGTGACCCCTATCCTCATCCACATCACCACCACAACAGGGGCTTTCTGTCCGACCTGGTCGTGGTGCCTGGCTGTGCTGGTCGTTCCTCTGCTTTCACGCGTATCCGCTCTCGCTTGTTCCATCCATCCCACCTCCCTCTTCCCACCCCAACCCACCACGCCACGTGCCAAACAGGGGCTTTCTGCCAGACCTGGTTGTGCCTGCCTGTGATGCCTGGCTGTGCTGCTCGTTCCCCTGCTCTCACGCGTATCCGCTCTTGCTTGTTCCATCCCTTGTCTTCCACCCCAACCCACCACGCCCACAGGGAGACAGCAGAGGGCTCCTACGTACCAAACAAGGGATTTCTGCCGGACCTGGTTGTGCCTGACCCGGATGCCGCACCTGCTTCTTCAGAGGGAGCAGCACCTGAAGATTCACCTGAAGATTCAACTGATGATTCAACCCTAAACCCTGGAGGGGGGGAAGGGGGGCAGGGCGGGATGAGGGTTGGGGTGATGAGGGGGGAGAGGCAGGTGCGGTGATGGAGGAGGGAGCAGCAGCAGCAGCAGCCTTCATCAGAGAAGCTGTCAGAATCTCTGCAGCATCTGGGCATGCATGACACTGCTGCTGCTCCTGCTGCTAGTGCTGATACTGCTGTTTGGGGCTGCGAGGGGGATCAAACAGCAGCAGCAGCTCCTGCAGTCGAAACCGCAGAAACAGCAGCGGCGGCCGCATTGACACCGGCTCACATGGATGAGTTGTTGGATCGCTGTCTGCTGCAGGCCCTTTCCGTCTCTGTCAAGCCCTCCCACCTGCCCCTGGGAGCTAGCACCCTCTGGTATGCCCCCTTTGGTACCCTCACACTGGTAAACTCTCTCTCAGCTGGCATTGACGCCAGCACAGATGGACGAGTTGTTGGATCGCTGTTTGCTGCAAGCCCTCTCCGTCTCTGTCAAGCCCGCCCACCTGCCCCTCGGAGCTAGCACCCTCTGGTAAGGCTCCCTCTGGTAAGAGTATGCTCTCTTTGGTAACCACGTTCTCAAATGGTAAGCTTCATGTTTCAGGTCGTTTCCCAGCCGTTGCTTCAGGTGCTTACCTGCCTGGTTCCCTCATCCTGCCTCCCAAGTCATCACCTGTCGCTCCCACCACTTGTGCAGGGCTGGCCGACCAATGAACTCATATCAACTCATTGACCATGCACCATGCACCATGCACATGTACTAGCAGCCGAGCCGAGCCTCATTGTGCAGGGCTGGCCGACCAATGAAGTCGTTGCCGACCAGCTGTCTTAACTTATGGACTTTAACTGGCTAATCTTAAGCCTGTCTAAAAATTGTCAAGATGCTAGGCGGGCGTCTTTGTAATCTGACAGTCAGCACGACATTACTTGCCGCACCCAAGACTTTCAGATGAACTTGTTGGTCCAATCACGTGCTGCTGGGCAACGTGTTGAAAGGTTGCTCCTTCCACCACCTATTGCATGGCAGGTCCAATCACGTGCTGCCATGTCGGCCGCCCGGCACAACAGTGGACATCAAGAAGTCGTCTCACAAGAAGCTGAGCAAGTGGCTGCATGCCAAGGCCGTTGACGGGCTAGTGAGTGCGGGAGAGATTTACACTCTTACATGCGTTTTCAACCGAATGTCACATGAGCGCCTCTCCAAGTGGCTGCATGCCAAGGCTGTTGATGGGCTGGTGAGTGCGAGAGAGAGAAAGTGTGAGCAGGAGGGAGTGTTGACGGGCTGGTGAGTGTGATGCGTGAGGGAGTGTGAGTGAGAGAGAGCGTGTGAGTATGAGTGGCTGCATGCCAAGGCTGTTAGGGGCTGGTGAGTGTGCTGAGTGCGAGTGTGAGGTTTGTACTCTCACACGCGCCCATCGTCCTTTTGTTACACAAGAAGCTGAGCAAGTGGCTGCATGCCAAGGCGGTTGAGGGGCTGGTGAGTGAGTGAGGGAGTGAGTGAGAGAGTGTGTGCTAGTGAGAGGGATTGTGTGCTAGTGAGCAAGAGTGTGTGCTAGTGAGAGGGATTGTGTGCTAGTGAGCAAGAGTGTGTGCCAGTGAGAGGGATTGTGTGCTAGTGAGCAAGAGTGTGTGCTAGTGAGAGAGAGTGTCCGTGTCAGTGAGAGGGACAGTATGACCACCAACTTCATGCATGTATCAGGCCAGGAGGAAAAGCATCGAAAGGACTTTATCCTCTCTCCCATCAACCACCCATGCCATGTACCCACCCCCTCCCTTGCATCTTGCTTTATTGCACCCATCTACCCTTCCCCCCTCCCCCTTCCTTCCTCCTCCCCACCTCAGATATCAGGCAAGGAGGACAAGACAAGCACCGAAAGGAGTTCATCCTCTCTGTCATCAACTACCGCCACCCCATGTTCGCCCCTTCCATTACACCCTTCTATACTCCCTGCCCCCCAATTGTTTCCCCTCCCACCAGATAAGCAGCAAGGAGGACAAGCACAGAAAGGAGTTCAGCCTCTCTGTGTCATCAACTACCGCCACCCAAGCCTTCCCTTGCTCCTCTCCCATCTGCCCACCTGCCCCCCAACCTCTTCCCCCTGCCCCTCCAAATATCAGGCAAGGAGGACAAGACAAGCACCGAAAGGAGTTCATCCTCTCTGTCATCAACTACCGCCACCCAACTCTCTTCCCTTGCTCCTCTTCCATTGCACCCACCCATCTGCCCGCCCCCCAACCCCGACCTCTTCCCCCTACCCCTCCAGATATCAGGCAAGGAGGACAAGACAAGCACAGAAAGGAGTTCATAATCTCTGCCTTTAACCGTACATAGCATGTACCCACCCCTTCCCTCACACCCTTCCCACTGCACAAATCTATACACCTCTCCCCCCTGCCCCTCACAGATATCAGGCAAGGAGGACAAGCACCGCAAGGAGTTTATCCCCTCTGCCATCAACTACCCGTGGCATAATCTTTTCTGTTGCACTCATATACCCCCATCCCCCACCCCCACCCCCTTGTTCGTTGCCCTTCCAGATAAGCGGCAAGGAGGACAAGCACCGAAAGGAGTTCATCCTCTCTGCTATCAACTACCGCCACCCGACCCTCATCGCCTTCACGCCAGAGAAGACAAACAAGCCCGCCCAGACCCCTGCTGCTGCAACCCTTGACGCATCCCGAGCCGCACCTGGAGCACCGACCACCACCACCGCCACCACCACAACCACCAGCAACGGTAGCGGCAGCAGCAGCAGTGGAGGGGGGTTGACAGTAGAGGAGGTATTCAAACCCACCCACCACGTGTCAGCCATTTTCGAAGCCGTAGGGCTCGACCCACACGCCTACTACTCCCCTTCCGCTGCTCGCGAAGCTGCTCTCTCCTACATCTCCCTCCACTCCCTCACAAAGCCCTCCGACCCCTCTGTAGTCATCCTCGACGCACCGCTCTGCGACGCACTGTACAAAGGCGCGATAAAAAAGGGCGCCGCGTACCCCACAGAATGCCACAAGCGGGACGTGGGGCCCACTATAGTGAAACGCATACAGGCGCATCACAGGGTGGAGAGGGCGGGGAAGAGCGTGGTGCGCAAGGGAGGGTTGGTGCCGGTGCAAATACTGGTGGAGAGGCGGCAGGGCAACAAGAAGGTGACGCGGGTGTCGGGGCTGGAGGCTTATCTGGTGGAGGCTGAGCCTCTCGCTGCTGAGCTGCAGAGGAAGTTTGCCTCGAGCACATCCGTGGCTGAAGTTCCAGGTGGGTGGGCTTTGAAGGTTCCCGGGCTGACAGGTCTATCAGAGTTGAATGGAACCAAGGGGCTTATCTGGTGGAGGCCGAGCCGCTCGCTGCTGAGCTGCAGAGAAAGTTTGCTTTGAGCACGTCAGTTGCTGAAGTCTCAGGTGGGCGCTGCTGCTTTAGATGTGTCAGGTGGGCTCTGTTGGTCTGCAAGGCATTTTAGATGTGTCAGGTGGGCTCTGTTGGTCTGCAAGGCAGTTTAGGTGTGTCAGGTGAGCTCTGTTGGTCTGCAAGGCAGTTTAGGTGTGTCAGGTGGGTTTTGTTGGTCATGCACCCATGTGCCCATCCATGCATCCATGCACACACAGCAGGCAACAAGGGGCAGCACGAGGAGCTGATCCAGAGAGGCATGTTGCATGCTCATCTATCTCTCCTCCCATTCCTTCTCGTTTCCGCTCTGCCTCCCTTTCCATCCATGCTCCCATGCAACCATCCATGCATGCGTGCGCATGAAGCAGGCAAGAAGGGGCAGCAGGAGGTGCTGATTCAGGGAGGGGTGTTGGATGTTCATGTTCTGCCCCTCCACCCTCTCTGCCCTCCCTCCCCACCCCCATGCACCCATGCACGAAGCAGGCAAGAAGGGGCAGCACGAGGTGCTGATTCAGGGAGGGGTATTGGATGAACTGGCTCGGCTGCTTGTAGATGTGCATGGCATTCCCAAGTCCCATATAGAGGTACTCGATAAGACCAGGAGGTGATGTTAGGAGATCATCTATGTGGAACTCTTAGGAGTTATGGAAGGTGGCATTGATACAACTTTTGGGGGGGATGGGGGAGTAGAGTGGCGGCGGGGGTTTGTTGTAAGTGTGTTGGGGGATCCAAGAGACTGATAGAGGGAGGAGGGATGGGGAGGAGGAAGATTATGGAAAGGAGGAAGAGAGGGATGAGGAGGATGAAGTGGAAAAGGAGAGGAGAGAATGAAGGAGCAGGAGGAATCTAGAAAGGAGGATGTTGTCTCCTCGTCACACAAGATGCTGTCCAATGCATTGCATCGGGCAACAAAATTTGGTGCGCACAGCTTTTTGGTGGGTCCCTTCTGTAACTTGGTCTCCTGTCCAAATGTTTCTTTCCCCAAAGGGCATACTACCGGTATGTGTATTGCTTGTTGTGTTGCTCCTCCAACTACAGGTATGACCAATCCAAAGTACTAAAGGAAGGGGCCACCAATCAGGAGGCAAGGGGATGGTTGAAAGTGTGGGATGGTGAGAACAGGCTAGAAAGGAATGGAAGAAGATTTCCCAGAAATTGAATATCTTTCACTACTACAATGAAGCACAGCCACACAAAACATTATTCCCCTGCTTACCACACAAGACTCCAATCAACCCCCTATCCCCTCCCTACCACACTTCTCATAGAAACCCAGGTCACTGAAGGTAACCAAGCAAACGAATTCCTGCGATCGCACAAGCGAAAGAAGGCAGCCCACCGAAGCAGAGAAATCAACGTGGTATTTGCCGAACTTCGAAGCAGCATAACGAGACGTTATACTCCCCAGCAGTCACAGCTTCAACCCCAGCGAGAAATTCCCGCAAATCCTCCTTGTTGGGTTGCTCGTCACACCCTCGGGAAGCTCGCCGTGAGTAAAGCAGTACATTACTCCAGGAGTCCTTTGGGCGTGCAATCGACAGGAATCGTTGGAAAAGACGGCACCTAGTCGTCGTGGTGGTCGTGGTGGTGATCGTCGTCGTGATGATCGTCGTGGTGGTCGTCGTCGTGGTGCTCCTTAGGCTTCTCCTCCTTGGGCGGTGACGGCTTGGGCTTGGGCGTGCACTTCTCAACGCACTCCTCGTACTTCTCCTCGCACACCTCGGCCTTGTACCACTTGAGGCACTGGCGGCGGCGGTACAGGCACCAGTCCTTGCAGCCCCACTTGCCGTACTTGCAGTTCTTGTACGACTTGTACGCCTTGCGCTCGCACACCGTCGACTGCGCCTCGCAAACTTCCTTCTCGTCCGCATTCGCCGCCTTCGCGACACACGCCTCCTCCTTGTCCTCGCACTTGGCGTATTTGATCTTGTACTTCTCAATGCACGTCAGCTTCGGCTTCGGCGGAGACGGCTTCTTCTTCTCGTGGTGATCGTCGTCGTCGTCGTCGTCGTGGTCGTCATGGTGATCGTCATCGTCGTCATCGTCGTGGTCGTGGTGGTGGTCGTCGCCCAAGAAACGCCTGGCGGCGAGAGTCGCTACAACCGAAAAAACGCGACGGGCAAATGCGTCAGAATATATCGGCGACGATCATGAGAAGCAGCGGAATTATGGTTCCCACCTGATGTCTCTGCGCTCGCGACGGCGCTGGACTCCGCGTAAGCGGAGGGCGCAAGCAGGGCGACCAAAATCGCGGAAATCGCGACCAGAACAGCGAGGAGCTTCATCGGAGCCATAACGATATCGCGAAGGGTGGGTAGTACTGAACCTGCAAACGACGCTTGGAAGTGAATGACTGAAATGGATTTCCAGTCCCAATTTATTCTCGAAATTTTGATCCCCAGCCCCAGATGCTCCTCCCCCATCAAGCCTCAGGCGAAGCGCCGAGGTTTCCTGCTTGCTAGACGAGGGCCGCGGCTCGATTGAAAATCAGCGCCGATTTTATGGGCAGTCAATAAGAATTTTCCATGAAACCTGTGATCTGTACACCTGCTTAAATCTTGACGATAGGATATATCGAGATAATTCCCCTCTGTTAAACTTCCTCTCAACCATAGGATATGTCGCGCGAAGTCAATGTTTTGCCATTAATAACCACCTTCTGCATCGGGCTGGTCCAGTAAAATACAGCATTACTTGAAGGCGTCACGGGAGGGCGGCGTCGCTTTAGCGCCTCGGAATGTTGACACGGTATTCCTGCAGCCCCTTCACCCCGATGGTACGATGATCCTGTTGAAGACCGGTGATCGACGTCTGAGAACAATCCAGCATTCACTTATAAGCTGCCCGAAATTGTGACTACGTGGCATGCATGTTGCGACATTTCTCATCCAAACCAGAATACCTCGTTATAGAATTAAGGAAGTACATGGTTGGCGAATGTAGATTCTAGAACAAGGAAAGCATCTACTTGCTACAGTTTCTATGCTAAGGGCGTGTCGTGTGTCCTTGCTGGTCAAAGTTCCAAAAAAAAAAAAAAACAAGAGGCGACGAAATCGTCTTAGGGTTGCGGAGCATTTTGGATTGATAAAAATTTCTTTATTGTTTACTAAGATATGTACCATATTAGGTATTAATATTGTACCCATAGAATTTCTACGGTAAGAACATTTTCTTTAAACCTCCGTATAGCAAGTGTTGTGCCTTAAAAAAATGCGTACACTCAGTATGTTAGCACTACAAATTAAAACAACATTCAGTTTTTTACAATGCCAATATATACAAAATGGTGTAGGAGAAATGTCTGCTCTAAAATCATTGACGAACAAAGTATCCAACTTGAGTAACGCGCACACCGCGAAACGGACTCGAGACCTTTCCCTCATGAAACTCCTCGAAGACAGCTGTGCTAAACAGATACAATTTAATGTTCCGTTGTTAAAATAGGACCGCTAAAATTGCGACAGAGTTGTTAACTTCCTAGGGTTTCGTTGTTCTTTTTGTTCACTCGTGTCTTCCCACAAGAGCTCTTTTTCTTCCCGCTGCTGCTCCTGGTGTCCTCCCGCAACTCAGCTTCGTAGGTGAGCCGTTTAATTACTAGAGTAGTATTAGTTCTTTAACTTAGAGGAAGATATATAGATCTTGGTGAAACCACCTCGTGGCTAGTCGTTTTCTCATGTTTGAGCCAAAGTTTCATATATGATTTCTCTATAGTGTGTAGATTTCAGGACGAAATGTTAGTCTCTCTCCGTTGTCCTTCTCTCCCGCTTCCATCTCTTTCTGTCGTCCGTTTGCCTCTCTCCTTTACTCTCTGTCGAAATAAGACAATCTAGCTTAGGGTTTGTGTTCCTCTCTTTCGAATTGTTGCAGCCCGATTTGATACATACACAATTTTTTTACGAAACCGTAGTTTATTGAACTCTCTCTTTATCTCTCATTCGTTCTCTCGTTCGTTCTCTCTCGTTCTCTCTCTCTCGTTCTCTCTCTCTCTCTCTCTCTCTCTCTCTCTCTCTCTCTCTCTCTCTCTCTCTCTCTCTCTCTCTCTCTCTCTCTCTCTCTCTCTCGTTCTCCCTCTCGTTCTCTCTCTCTCTCTCGTTCTCTCTCTCTCTCGTTCTCTCGCTCTCGTTCTCTCTCTCGTTCTCTCTCTCGTTCTCTCGCTCTCGTTCTCTCTCTCGTTCTCTCTCTCTCGTTCCCTCTCTTGTTCCCTCACTCTCGTTCCCTCACTCTCGTTCCCTCTCTCTCGTTCCCTCTCTCGTTCCCTCTCTCGTTCCCTCTCTCTCGTTCCCTCTCTCTCGTTCTCTCGATCTCCCTCTCTCGTTCTCTCTCTCTCGTTCTCTCTCTCTAGTTCTCTCTCTCTCTCTCTCTCTCTCTCTCTCTCTCTCTCTCTCTCTCTCTCTCTCTCGTTCCCTCTCTCGTTCTAGGATTTTCTCTGTCTTGATGTTTCAATGATGTTTTACAGCCATTCTCTGCATTCTCTCCTGAACTTCAAGTCTTAAAATTACATCTTTTTTTTTTTGCATTCGATTTTTTTTTTTTTTTTTTGTTATCGCAGATACTGGTGTTCAGGCAGGATGGGATGGAAGGAAGGTAGTGTCTCGTACAATTTACAGTGCATTTAAAATAGTTATTTTCATTATGAGTAATTGTTTATTTTGTTTCATTTCTGTTTCTATTATGCTTCTTCTCGTTGCAATCGTAATGCATGTCTGCATGTTTCAAAAATGTATCTTGCCGATCATCGTCACAAAAGGTTGAGTGGCCCACCACTATGACAGTGAAGCCATTTTCAGCTGGACTTGATCGGTGTAGACATTTTTTTGGGATATGCAGATTGTATTGCGCTGTCATGATTATTGTTTATACCGCTGACTTCCCCCCCATGCTAGGCTGGGGAAGCGGTAGTATAATTTTTGTATTCGTTAGCTACAAAATGTTTGTTTGTTCAAACCATGAGACATATTCATCAATTCATTTGATGAATATGCTCACGTCACGTCTCGTGTATACTAGGTGGTATACACTAAAGGAGAAATTCAATGATCATTTGGTTGGTTGGTCATTGAATTTTACTAATACTGTAATTTTCAGAGTTCGCAGTCTTGCAAAATATATCTATATAGATGACTGATTTACAACATAAAGATATGACTTAAAATCAATGTTAGGGTCCTACAAGTATAGCATATATTTTACGATTATTAAACTTATCCAGAGTTTTCTTCTATTTTTCCCATTTTTTCTTGGATAAAAAAAAAAATAGCGAAAAAAAAAAATTAGTCCCCGTCGATTGCAATAGGTTGCTCCGCAACCCAAAAAAAACTAACTTATGTGGTTACCCGTTTCGCATATCTCGTTAAAAGTAGGTTGCGTCGTTCGTCAACGAAAGGCCAAATCAAGGAAACGAACATAGATACTGAACACCGATCGAACTTACAATTGACTGTTCACGAACTCGTTTTGGGGAACGTGTGCATTTTTGCACACATGCAATGAATCTGCAAAATCTGCAAAATATGCGACAACGGCGAATATCAT